TATATTAGTATTTTGAGATATTCTATGAATTTCAATGTTTTTACTTCCGCTTGAGACCCTGACAGCAAAATCTAAATGCAATTCATAGCGATGGCAGGGAATATCTGAATGTATATYGCTGTGTGTGTGCACGTGTGTGTGTGTGTGCGCATGTGTGTGTGTGTGTGTGCTGATGGATGTGCGGGTGATTGGAGTTGTCATCAGCTGGCGGTTAAAATGACAGTCAACTGCTTGGCTGCTGCCACTTAGTTGCCACGCGGTACATCAGAAATGACTTGCAATTTTCTAACTATCACTTTCAAAATAGATCCTAATTTTGCTGGATTGGGCTTGTCAGGCAGAGATGGTGTTACAGCTGGGATGACTGATCCCAAAGGCCGGCGCTCAGAATGCTGACCAGTTCAGAAAGACAGTGTCGTCTGTGCTCGGCCTGAGACCCACAAAGAAGAATATAGKGTTATATGGTAAAAATAGATCCAATAGAGGTATCAAAGTCGAAAGATAAGACCGATATAAACCTGTTTAGCAATTAGCTCAACATTAAAAGTATACTCTAGTCCTTCGTTAGGTAATACTCTGTCAAATAGCTATCAATAGTTAGTACTAGGGATGCACGATATACTGTATCAGCATTCATATCGGTATCAGCCGATACTGGCCATTTTTTAGAATATTGCAGAGTTGTAATGTAACTAAGTACAAATACTTCTTTACTGTATGTACAGTAAGTAGATTTTTTGGGAATTTGTACTTTACTTGAGTAATTATTTTTCAGCCTACTTTTTACTTCTACTTCTTACATTTTCACACAGTTATCTGTACTTTCTACTTCTTACATTTTAAAAAAAGACAATAAGTAGAAAGTTGCTAATTTCATTTTTGCTTGTTTCATTCCAGCTTGTTATTGTAAAAAAAAAATGCTATCCATATAAATTGTGCCTCCTATAGAGTGAATTTAATTGTGGTTGAAATAGAAGTATAAATATATAAAATTCTGATACCGTATTAGTTTGTACACAAACAATCATGTCACACTCCAGCAGGACATGATCATTAAAATAAAAGGACTGTACTTAAGAAGTATTTGTATTTCATGAAATATATTATTGCATTTGGCTGCAGTCTTCTGATAGATTTTTATTTTGGAGAAAAAGGTTTGGGCACCTTTAATATATGTYTATAAACTGAAACAGCWYGACTAGTGCATCCAAAATTTAACATGAATTAATTATTTTAATATGATGTAGTCATTTCAACATTTRTTCCTAATAAATGTCCTTACAGAAAATCTAACTGCTCATTTTGAATCAATACTTTTACTTTTAATACTTAAGTACAAAAAATATCAGATACTTTTAAGATCTTTACTCAAGTAATATTCCTAAAGGAGACTTTAACTTTTACCAAAGTAATTTTTTGGTAAGATACTTGTASTTTTACTCAAGTATCACTTTGTGGTACTTTATACAACACTGGAATACTGGTATTGGTCCGATATGRAAAACTGGGCCGATATTAACGTCCGATATTTATTTCCCACTTTTTAGCTTTATGTTTCTGTTTTGGGAGGGGAGWTGATTGGTTGAGTGGCATCTGTTTGATCATGATAGTGATATTGACACTATGTAGCCAGGAATAACTGAAGTAGGGAGTCATGTCAGAGTATGGTCARTTATTTACGGTATCAAAAGAAGAGTGTGTTTGTGCTTATATGTGTAATAGAATTTGTATGTAATAACGGTAAATATCAGTTATCGGCCATAACAGCAATAATTATATCGGATATCGATATCGGCTGAAATTTTCATATCGGTGCATCCCTAGTTAGTACCCTCTTAACTGTGACATCAGTCACAAAGTATGGAGAAAGAAGAACAACCTCTGTCTAGTCTAGGCCAGTGGTTCCCAAAGTTGGGGTCGGGACCCACAGTGGGGTCCTGAAACATCAAGGTGGGGTCCTGAAAATATATTTTGAAATAATTACACACAAAAAGTGACAACTAAGAACAATTTTTTTTGCCTTTGTTGTTACAAAATAATAAGACTAGTGTACTTAAAATGGACAAAAATAGCGTAATAAATAATGTTACTATATGTTCTTGTTTATGTGACGTGAAAATAATGTTTATCAACCGACAACAGCTGGGGCCACAGGTCTCTGCTGCTGGTATTTTGTGGGTCAAAGGCTGAAAAGTTTGGGAACCACTGGTCTAGGCTAAAGGCTAGCTCAATGGTGTCTGARCCTGGCCTTTGAGTGCCACTATCCTGCAGGACTTCAAGTTCTGCAGAGACCTGTTATCACTCATCATTCACATCAGGTGTGTCAAAGCAGGGAAACATCTAAAACATGCAGGATAATATCCCAGYACAACCAGGACCGGACGCCACTGGGCTAGCCAAACGGGTTCCAGTTTGTTGCAGTTTAGATGCACCAATCAGGTGAACTGATACATTTGTAGCCTCCGCACCATCAGCAAACACACAACCTATGCTTAGAGCACACACACATTTGCGGTCCAAGGAGTAGCATGTTAAGAAAACAGCGATAAACTAAAAGGTGTCAATTTAGCTAATGTAGTGTTCTATCCAGCCAGTATGTCCTTTTTTTAAAAGAGTTGTTTCATAAGCCTGTATAATGATGCCTTTAAGATAAGGTGCAAATGCAGAAATCTGTGTTGTGTCCTTTCGAGTTGCCCTTCAACAAATTTCTGCCGGTGGAAAAGCCAGATGCCTGCAAACTCCATCTCCTGCCTGTACATTAACTATACATTACCCTGATCCATGTGCAAGGTTCATTAGTGTGAATGGAATTACAGCTGGCTGGAAATAAATGTGTGTAATTAGCAAAGGTCTGTCCCAGAAGAGCAACGCGTGCTAGACGTGGAGGTAATGGGATCCATCGAAAAGCCATTGTCTGGTCCTTTAGAGCTTGAAAATGCCTTTAATGACAAACCAATGCAGCAGAGGCCTCACGGCGCTCYTGTCCGCCTTTCTACGAAGGCAGCAGGAGTTTATGTGTGAAAGTCTTCGACGGCTCAGTGGTCGATGTGAGAAAGACAAAAACAAAGAACACGGGATCTACGCTGGTTTGTGGAATGCGTGTTTGTTGGGCCTTACGCAACATTTGCACCCAGACAGTGCCACTACGATATCTGCTGCGCTCGTCAAAAGCGATTACAGATGTGTCGCTTTTGTTTACAGTGCTTGAACTTTGACCCATAAATCCTTGGCTCTTTTACAAGAACGTGAAAGGTTAGTTGTTTAAAACGCGTACAGATAAAATCCTGTTTTAAAAAAAAAAAGGTCCAGCGAAGCAAACGCGCACACAAAGTTACAGTTACAGCCGACGTGGCGGAAAGTGAACAGAGTGTATTTGTGTTTGAAAATAGCTGGGCACCAGCAGCACTGGACTGAAACCTGCAGCACGGCTGTGAGTGTTTTCAGGTCCACTTTTCCACGCCAGGAAACAACCTTACACTCTTTTACCCTTGCCGTTTCGTTTGGAYAGTCACCCGACACACTCCACCAGACACAGACACGCAACTCCACCCTTTGACACACACTCATGATGCCTTCATGCATGCACGCATACTGGCCTCAGTGACTCCCTGCAGTCAACCTCCTTCTGCTCACAAACAACCCCTCCTCTCTCCTTTTTTCCTCTCTCCAATAACTGACTCCTCCTCCTCCTCCCCCCTCCCATGATACACATACACAAAATGCTGCCTAGCCCTGAGCTGACCCGTTGTGTGTACTGACGTCACGCACTAGACAAGGGGAGGCATCATTCCAGACAGACACACACACACACACACATCCGCGCACACACACACACACAGGCCCCAGCCGAGGGGGAAGCTGCATTCCAGCACAGACACACATCACCACGCCTGGCGGTGGGAAGCATGGGGAGCGCTCAGCTGTAGCAGAGAGGCAGGGAGGGAGGTGGGGGTGGG